CAAGAAAATTAAATTCTTGAGCGGTTGAAAGAAGACATTGCAAATAATGAACAGTGGTCGTATTTAAGGGACGATGTGAGAAAATCGCTTACTTTCATCATTTTTGTCGGGGGCACGGGTGGCCCAGTCGTCTAAGGCGCCGCGATTTGCTGTGCAGAGTTGCGTCCCTTGGGCATGCCAAAAACCTATGGTCGTGGGTTTGAATTCCGGTTCGCCCTGATTATGTTTCTAGGTTTGTCAGCACAATACCCATGCTCGTGGGTTTCACCGAAGTGGTCAACATCTAAGACCTGCATCACTTCGGGCTTGCCTCCCACATCAAGCTGACGCGCCGCGATTTGACTGGAATACTGTTAAAAGTGGCCCTAAACTCAACTCACTCACTCATCATTTTTGTCTTTGACTTTGACTCAGTAATTTAAGAGAGTTATGATTGTATAAATTTTTTAAATTATCCTGTCTCACACCATGCATTTCTTCTTCTTTTGATCTTGGTGTGGAAACATCTTAGAACAAAGTTTCCAGCTTGTGTGTGAGTTAGGATAAGTTTATAAATAAACTAGACTTTTGTAGTCAGTTAAAGCCATTGCCGGGGAAAATGTTTTTTATGTGCATAAAGTTAATGTTTTTTTAGCATTGAACACATTTGTGGTATTGTGCCCTTGCTGTCATGAGCACTTATGGTTAGGTTCCCATATAAATCATGGCTCAATAGGAATGTGCACATAATCTGAAAGTGTCCACAGTTTGAGGACATCAAACCAAAGAAAGCATGATAAATTACACATAACAAAGGCTTTAGTGATATAGTATGGTAAATAAAGATTAGAGGTAATGTGTTCAAAGATCAATGTTTTGTGAACAAGTAAGGGTTATTCAGGCACAAATTAAAAATTTAAACTTATCCTATCTCAAACTATGCATTTCACCCTTCTTTCGTCTGCTGCTAAGAAACCGAAGCAATTGACCAAGCCGGCTGCCCCTTTTCAGTGGCTAAACCACCTCCGGATTTCACCTCGCCTGCTCTGTCGGTGGCCTATGATGGCGTTTCTGATAGTTTTCTTACCGACGGCATCCCTTCTGTACCGGTTAAACAATCCACTCCTGACGCGTCTGAGTTATCTGACAGAAGAGAGAACCTTGCACTGTCTGATTGGGAAGCTTGAATCGACACAGACAGGGGTCTATGTCGATTCAACTTGCTACAACAGACGTTCGCAAGGTTCTCTCATCCGTCGAATGGACCATGGCTTCTTCTCATCTTCGGTTGACCCTGCGAGGACATCTTTCAGTTACCGCTCCTTCGTGTGATGCCTTTTGTCCAAAGATGCTATCGACAGTGATGAATAAGACTTCGCCTAACACTGGTCAAACGGCTTCATCCTCTACTAAGGATTGATGGAGCAAGGATTGAATGACCTCATGCTTCTACCAAGGGTCACTGTTCTATGGATAGTCAATTGCAGGATCTAAAGATCGCTCGTCTGAGGATCGCTCACCTAAAGATAGCACACCAAAGGATTGACAGTCGGATGAATGTCATGCCAGTTTGCAAGTCGATCTCAGGATCGACTATCTCACGATTGACGGTTGAAAAATCAACCCTCTCAGGATCGACGATTGGTGGATCAACCCTCTTGAGATTGATGTACTCGGAAGGACGCTACAGATTTCTCCGGGGCCACTCGTTTGGATTAAGAGAATGACGATTGTACTCGGCTGAGCGTTCGTCGACATGAGGTCGCTCCCAGTCATCCAGTTACACAGAATTGGCGGCGTCAACAGGATCATGCTGGCTCCTACCTTTATGATCATCATTGACAGGACTTTAGGGCTTGGGATTTTTCTGGATACAGCAATTACGGAGACTGTACTTGTGCTTGGGAGAACTACTCCTGCACATGGACCAGTATCCTCAATGGTGTGGTTACCCATATGCTTCGCTTACCCTGACTCCAAGTCATGTACTGATTACTACCGCTCTTTTCATTGGGGTCAGCCTCTGGATCACCATTGCTGTGACAAGCTGTCCCATGTCCCTCTCCTCGTAGATGTTCCTCTCCGATGTTAGCAAGTGTGGATTGCCATTCTCCTGCTTGTCATCTCCGCCTCCTGTTCATGTACTTTCTACTCCGGCTGTGCTCCACCGGTGACTATCCACTCATCCACTCAGCCGCTACCTGCCTCCTGTGTCCATCGCGACCCGGCTGAACATTCCAGAATTGCCCCAGGCTGCTGGTGGCACCTCCTCTTGCAAGTTCAACTCCTGCCACAGCTCCCACACAGACCATTCCTCATGGTTCAGATGTTCCTGATCCTCCGGATGTTGTTTCTTCCAGGCTAGTATCAAAATGGATCATCAATCATCTGCCACCTTGCCTTCTGGGATTTTTGAAAATGCCGATCCTGCGCTCGTGCTTCATTGGATCACTGGTAATCTTATGTTTCGCCATTCCTTGTGCCGGTTCGTCGAACATCATACTCCCTCTTGACTGAATATGGGACGAACCTCGACAAGGCTTCCGCATCCTTCTGAGGGTTCAACTCCAACTTCAGTCGATCCAGTGCTTCCTGCTGTCTTACCTCCAGAGTGACGATTGCCAGGTCCTGATATGCCTGCTGATATCTCTACATCCACATCGTCTGTGTTTGCGCCAGACATCAAATGTTTGACGCATCAACATATCAACCATTTCGAGTTCAAAGCGGTCATCCTGGCAGTATCCCATTGGGCAGAGCTTTGTACCTCATGCGTCATACCTCATGATCCAGTCGGACAATATATTGGTTGTTTGGGACATAAACAAGCTGGGCTCCACTAAGTCGATGTCGCTCCTGTTGCTGTCGCTCCTGTTGCTGTCGATCGACTTCTTCCCGGACATTCAGGTTCAAGAAAGACACATTCCGGGGTTCACAGACGTGATAGCCAACTCCCTATCCTGACCAGACAGGCCGTCACCAATGGAATGACATCTCCACCCTATGATCTTCTGGTGAATATGCCAGCTTTACCTAAGCCCAGATGTTGACCTATTTGCCCACCAGGTTCTTGAGGCTGCCAGACCACTACGGCGCCCCCGGAAGCGACTATTAGTCTAATGTATAGGGATTGCCTGTAATGGTGTGTTTTCCCACTCACGACACAAGGCACTAGACAGTGTTATAGATTTTTTATTTATCTCGCTAATTAGCATCAGCTTCCTTGTGTAAGCTAGGCTAGGGTACCTGTGCCCCACAGTTCCAACCTTGGGATAATTAAATGCATAGTGTGAGATAGGATAAGTTAAACAAAAAAATTACATTAAATTGTATATTTATATACTTATCCTATCTCACATTTTGTATTTAATTATCCCAATTATTATATGCCCTCCCAACCTTCCACTATTGACCTTTTTCACACTTTCGCCATCTTGGATCGAAAACGAGGCTTGGAGAGCATAGCTCCATGCAGTGTGAGTCGCATCAGCTCATAGGGAACAGACAGCATGTTGTGCATTTCACTGATGGACATTTCAAACAAACAAAAAATGGTATCCTCTGTATCTAATACAGAAGATATTTCACATTTAATCCTGAGGTCCAACTAAAATATGCCTGTAATACATTGGAATTAGCATTTTGCTGTCAGGATCTCGGAAGTGAATCGAAAGGGGCATTTCGAGATACGTATTTCAGAAATAGATTTTTTTATCATAACCTCATCGGCATATATAGGTACAATGTGACAGTCATTCAATGACAGAAGTTTTGTATCGTAAATGAACCGCATAACATGAAACAGGTCAGTGTACTTTTGCAAATTTGCTCAGTCAATGCGTGGCTTGGCGAACTCGAGATCGTCGATCATGTTTATTTCACGTTTCATAGTGGTGTTTGCTGCACAACGCACTGTCGTTTTGCCATGAATCCAGTTGACAAAAAACACTTTTTCTGCTATGATTTTCATCTAAACTTATTACAATGTAAATGAAATTAGTTCACAAAATAACTCGTGTGTCAAAATAAATATTCAGAAGGGGCAATAACTCTATTCAGTGTGTACTTTACTGGTTCTTCAAACATCACTTATCTAACCGATTATTACCGATTGAGATTGCACCGTGCACGACAAAAGTAATAATGTGTGAACTGTTTAAAATAAGTTAAAAGGAAACTTAAAATTGATAAATATAAATAATGCATGAAATTGAAGAAATATAAGAATTGATACAAACACCAACTTCTTGAACACCCTGACCTAATCCTGTATGATGATACGTAATTGTATTTCAAAAGGAAGCTACTTATACATTATCCTGAATAGTTTGAAAATGTCTTGATCAGATATGAGTACAGATAAAAGAACAAAAGATGAAAAGGAATCAACTTCATTTGGTAATCAAGCCAAGATAAAATATATGTATCGGTACAAATTTTGTTGATGGAACAATCTCCATGTTTCATGTGCTATCCAGCCTTCACCTTTTGCTCTCCAAGCCTCGCTTTCAAACCGGAAGTAGCGAAGTGTGAAAAAGGTCAATATCACAGCTCTAGCCTGTTAGCTCTGTGAAAGAGTGAAAGAGAATGATGTGGCAGGGGTATTCATGTGATCAGGTCGTGTAAGTTGTTATGCATGGTAATACAGTGTGTGGCCCATAGTTTTGGGTGGTGACCATGGTGATTCTGGGATATGTTCAGGTGATTTGTTTTTAGAAGCTGGAAACCTTTTCCAAGCATCTCTCCACATAAGCTCGAAATAAGGAAGAAATGCATAGTGCAAGATAGGATAAGTATATAATTATACAGTTTAATGTAAAATTTCCAAAAAATAATTACCGGTACATGCACTTGGTGCATGTAGATATAAATATTAGATTGCATTTTTCAATAATAGGTTGCACTGGTGTATGTTTTATATGGCTAAATCAAACCCTGTTATGTATATGAATTGGAACACTTGATTGATGATAGTAATATTGAGTGGTAAAGGAATCAAATCATTCAATTTTCTCCTCAAGACACACGGTCAGCTCGTGAGAAGGAGAAACTAGCAAACATCATGGCCTATGGAGAAGACATGGAACCCATCCCAATGGCTCGTGTACGGAAACGTGTTGAAATGGAGATTGGAGAAGAGTCTGACGTGGATAGGTTCCAGGAATGTAAGTACACTGATCGTTACAGAATCTCAAATACTTAATAGAATCTTTGGGGGCATGTAGGTTCAAATCGTTACACAGCATCACAATAAGATGTTAACAAAAAGTTGTCGTAGCTGGAAACTTTGACATATTTCTACAGAAAGCAGTGTTCTAAATTTAGCACACAATTCCAAGGGTCCATGTCATTGGCTAAAGTGTTAAAAATGAAAGATTTTGGCAGTTCAGAGATATAAATGCTTTGGAAGCAAACCTAAAGCAGCGTTAGAAATTAGCACTAGTCCTTGCCAAACTGTCCAATAGTTACGGTATCATAAGGACTAGTAGAAATTTGCCATTTCTAGTGGTTTTGCTATATGTTATCATTATAAGGACTAGTGGACTGAAACTGTTAGTTTCTAATGCTGTAAAGGTCAACCCTTAATGTTGAACACTGTCAAGAGAGACATTGATGGATTGAGATTAATAATAGAGATTGCTTTAGATTGTCATGTTGCCTAACACTGCTAAATGAGGGTTAAATTGAAGAATTAACAACCCTTCAAGGACTAGCTGCTGCTGAAAAGAACCGACCCTCCATAAATCTCATGAGCCAACTGCAGTGAACTTGGAATTCTTGGTACCATATTACCATTTATTACTCCCCCATGAAGAGATCACCGGTTTAATAAACATACAGCTGTATTACACATTGTGTAATACCACAGTGCGTGCTTATATACTGTGGGAACAAGCTTCTCTAACAAATATTGAAAACTCCCAACATCCCTGGACTTTTTCAATGACATTGCATGTAGAGATGATAGATCACTGAGTGGAGCTTATGCACACTCGACGACCCCAGGCACCCTGTTGCTAGGCTGACGTCACAGGGCATTGTTTTACCGTGGATCTTGCAACAAAATTCCACAAATTACATCATAGGGCATTGTGATGTGATTGTAAACTTTGTGGTGCAAGGACCTGTTGTACACAAGGTGATTGTTGTCCAAAGAAAGCATAGGAGTTACTATAACTTTAGTGCTGCGGTAGCTTTTTTGATCGGACCCCTGAATTTTAAGGTTGGACTGTTTTATGGTACTAAGTTAATCTGTATCAACATTTGACGTGTTTAAAGTACTATTTTGTTAAACTCAATTGGAGTAAGCTGTGGATCGCGTAGATGTCTGCCTATTCACTCACGACAGTGAAATTAAAAAACAACAACATTATAAATGGAAGTAATAAATAAAATACTAAACTCTCTGCCATGTACCAGAAGTATTCACTCGTTTCATAAAATTGGTATTAAATGGGAGCAAGTTCAGTATTCTTTATCGTATAATTGATAGTGTTATTGATGTGATAAGCCAATCTGGTCCAATAAAAAGGCAACTGCTATCAACTGGCAGGAACTACTGTTAATGTGCTCCATACATCAACATGGTGCATCAGCTTTTATCTGTCAAAGTTGTTAATGAAATGTTTGTGCAATGATCAATGTTTGTATTCTACAGTGCAAGATGAAATTACGGAAAGACGTAACTTTCTGGCCGACATGGAGAAGCTGGGACAAGGGTCTAAATACAGAGGCATCATAGAGACAGAAGTATCTCAAGTATGTACACAAATAGATTGTGATAAAGATGTGAAGAGAGAATGACATTTTACTGTCATTTGTGGCTAAAGTAGTTCCTTTAACCCTGCAAGTCGCCATTATTTCTGTTCATGGGTCAGTTCTTGCAGGTATCTGTGTTAAATGGATGACTGATGAAAGCTTTTTCATGCTTTTGTATCCCCTTGTACATCAGCACACACCTGCTACATTTACTACTAAGTTAATGGTTCTGCAATAAAGTGGAGCAGTAGGGTAGCCAAGTGGATAAAGTATTGGGTTGTTAGGCTGAAACCCAGGGTTTGATTCCCCACACAGGAACAATGTGAATCCCATTTTTGGTGTCTGTTGCTGTGATATGGCTGGAAAATTGCTAAAAGTGATGTGAAACCAAACTTATGGGATAAGTACATGATTGAGGAAAGGATCTTTCACTAAAATTATGTTTATTTACACAGAAAATAAGAGAAATGGAAGTTATCGACAAAAAGAAGACTGAAGAGTTGAAACGTCTGATTGAGCAAGAAGACAGAAATAAAGCCACATCAAAAGGAATCCCCCAAGCATCGGTCTCCTGAAAGGGAAGATAACTCTATCTCACATGAACCGAGCAAGACTCTACAATGTATTATTGATCACATGGAGAAGTCAAATCTCAGTCAAAATGTGGGGACAATCTTGTCACTGTGATATTTGGACTCATTGATTCGAGTTGTGTAATCTATCATGGTATTTTACCTAACCAAATTAATCCGTCATTGATGTCAGATTTAACACATCGGTTTGTTTCTGATACATTGATCGGGTGTTAATAGTGTCGGATGATGCAGTGAAACTAGACAAGCCATATCGTCATCAAGCCATATTGCCACGTCACTGGACTGTTCTGTGTGATTTCACTACAGACTACTGATGCCTAAGTAATCCCAACAAATGTAGAACTAAGTCACTCTTTAAATATTGAATGAAAACTATTCCACACAGAACATCCATTTGTGAGGAATATTTTATAATCTCGATTCTAATTCACATATTAGCTGACAGAACCCAGTCGAGGCTTTGATGTTTTGGCATAGACACAGCATCATTGGTTTGAAAGGCACAAAAGGAAATTTAGGTTATAATTTTGAGCAAGTTAATTCAAATATTGACTTCCATTTGCCCTGTGTTCGTAGTTCCCTAGCTATGGATCACTGACTGCCAGTACAAGACTCATTGTCAGACAGCTTGTATCACATTTGTGATTTGAAAACTATTATATTTGTGAAGTGTATTCATTTCATATGTTAGATGACTCATAACTACTTAATTAAGGCCATAATAAATTCATTGTCAGATTTTTAATACCCTGTCTCACATAATTTATTGTCTCCAAGAACCTTTCATTACTTGATGTGAAACACGTCAGGGTTTGATTTAAAAAACTTGATGCACATGTTAACATGAAAAGCTAGTTGCACCAGACTAAAACAGGTTGCACCCTGGTCCCATAAATTTATCAAAGTTGAAACATAGATGCATAAACTCGTCTATATAAGTAAAATAACAGACCTCCGATGACTGTGTTATAGATCATGAAACTGACACGACAAAGGGATTGGTCATATAGTATGGTAAATAAAACTGAGACACATTGAGTTTGTTCAAAGATTGATGTGTTGACAAGAAAGGTTTAGTCAGACACAAATTTGAATTTTGGTGACATGCACTTAGAGCATATAGACATAAATATAAGGTTGCATTTTTCAATATTAGGTTGCATTTTTCAATAATAGGTTGCACTAGTTGATCTTTATATAGCTAAATTGAGCCCTGATAGTCCTTCAAAACTTTCATGCTTCATGTGAATCACATCCATCGACAGCTAATGTACAATGAATGAAAATCGAATACTTAATTTTATGGGTGTAGGTTTACAGAAATCGTCACAAGTAATTATTTATATCTCCTCATGTATGCATTTACAATCACATTCCACCCTTACTTGATTGTTATCATACAAAATATTGTTTTATCATGATTTTATGATTTTTCACAATATTCCATTTAACATGTCTATCATATATATTAAATATGTGTTTGAAGTTTGGGCTTCAGCTTTTTACTGCCTGGCATTAAACACTCTTTCCCTCAATGCATTTTCTAGGTTTCTTACTTCATTAGAACTTGGTGACAAAGTGTTGAGTACATCCGGTCACTTGTGGTTTCAGAAAACAGCTGCTGAATACATTAGAACTTCAGACAAAAGTATTACGTCCGTAGCTTACTTTTGGATAGTTATTGTCCTGTTTTGATTACGTATCCAGTATTGAAATAAAGGCTGCCTGCCTATTACTTTACAACTGACATGTAGCTCAATTAATAGCAAAGCTTATACTTCTGGCTTATATCGCTCTGTTTCGGAAACACGTGTTCCTCAAATCAAAAGGACCCATCCCTCAACAACAGTCAGTCAGATTGAAAATTCCCTGGCTGTAGTTGAAAAAGGTACAAAGTTAATGGTTATTCAGTTTATGACTTTGTCACATCCTCCTTAGCATCAAAAATCTTATATTTATAGTGATGGACTTTCAAAAAGAGGAAGAAAAGAACTAAAATGGTTATTGCTTTATTTAACACCATAGCCTCAGAGTTACTGGCATCTGTTGATACTCAAAACTGCCAAGCTTGATAGTTATATTGCATGAGCCGGTGAGGAACAATAGGTTAAAAGATGTTCTTTTCAATGTTTTATATGTTTCCCCTGAGGGTTGAGTGTTGCAATTTGTTGGGACACTCAATAGTGACAGGTTTCTGACCTACAGATGGTTAAAAAACAATGTATTTGAGACCAAGCAGATGTTTTTGTCACTAGATCGGAAACAAACCCTGGAACTCGTTCTTGAAACATGTGAAATAAGATAGGTTCGCTTGAAACATAGCAGAGAGGTCGTGTACCTCTGAAGTAGTCCTAGAAGAACAAGTTGCCACTTTATCCTAATGATCTAATGATAATGCCTCCTGCCAATTTGCAATACTTTCTTTGAAGAACCTGAGCAGGTCATTTGCAAAGAAGAGAGCAGATGATTTCGGCAGACAAGTACTGAGAAACATGATGCAATTTTGCATCATGGGACGTCAAGGCGAAATTGATGGGCCACTCCTGTATGCCAAATTTGGAAGCCATCAGACTATTGGTTTCTGGGATAGCTGCTGGTAAAGGTCGCTTTCAGTGAATTAATTGAATGAATCTGCCCTTTGTCTTTGAGATTTTTAGGATCTTGCATACCCTGATAACATATTGGGAGACCTTCTGGTTTCTTTTAAAGGCATTTTCAGGTACAAAAATTGGCTAACTAATAAAAATAAACAGAATGATTATAATAGGGCATTTAGCCTTGTAGGCTTAAAGAGCTCTAATTGTTTTATATATTTCTGTCTACTGATAATTTGCCCTCACCAAATGTCGAACACCTGCCACGTGATGACATAAATACTGTTCGGCTCGATGTCACACTCACTCTTACATGCTTAATGTCCAAGAAATGTCATCTACATACTATTGTCAAAAAGAGCATGAATGTCAAATTTATACAACTGACCATGGAAAGCAACACTAAATTTGTCCAAACCTTGACATTTAAAATGAACAACCTCAAAACATTTATGTGTTGGAATAAACACAAAGTTCAATATCATTACACATTTTATTGTCAAAAGAGCAAATATGTACAAATGATATCATGTCAATCAATGCTCTTGCTTTATGCAGTTTGCCAAGCAATATGGCAAGAAATATGACCAAAGTTTACACCATAGCACCATTACAGAATGAATAGCTTCCAACACAATATGATATATTATATATATATAAATTAAACTGCTAACTTACGCACAAGATTTTGTGAGGAATACTGTTAAAAGCGGCGTTAAACTAAACACACTCACAAGATTTTGTGAGTGAATATAATTGTGGAAAATCTGAGATTTGAATAAATTATCAACAGATCCTTGTACTGCAAAGGGGCACAACTCAAACAATCATCAATCAGCTCCTTTGACCATAAATATTTGAACCATTCTGTATCTTATTGACTGCCACACATACACAATGTTCTATCATATGATGGAATCAAATCAAAATAACAAACTTCTCATTTGATCTTTCTTTCATTTCTATTTCATAAGACAACATACAGTTTAAATTTAAATGTATCTTCTCATCAGTTTACAGAAAAAATACTTACAATGACTAGTCAATATGAGACAACTAGGGGCCCATTATATCAAACATACTGGTACTTCCTATTAATTTCAGTAATCAGCATGAGCCATTACTCGATGAGTAACTCCAAATGATTACTTGGTATATTGTTAGAACTGATTTGCTAATAGAAAAATGCTATGTATATGCAGATAACAGTTGCATTTAAAACAGATGTTGCTTTTAAGAAAACCGATTTAGAATTAAAACTTAATAGTGCTCAAGCAATTACATGCATTAATGATATAAATCTATAATATCAGTATTAAACAATATTTGTACAATGGAAATGCATTCTGCTAATAGCATACATACTTCAATATATATTTGATTGTGTACTATTTTGATCACTGCACTGTTTTAGAAGAAATACCATGAATCTATTCAATGGTCATCACATCAATCTTGTGAAGAAGGCATTGGTTATGTGATCATGGGACATTTTTAGGTTGATGAAAAAATGCAAAATGTCAATATGTATTGAACAGTTTGAAGTGGAACACTTCAGATGATTAAGCCACAAGAGAAGCTGCGAGAACATTTAAAACTAAAAGAATCAAATGCTGTCTAGTGTACAAAATGATTAATTACACTGTTCAATGTTTTGTTGAGATATGTTGATGACAGTTTTCTGATCCCTCTTTTCCTGCTTGCAGTGTTTCTTTGCACGAGCATGAAATATTTCCCTTTTTTTTATTACTGAACTTTAATTCTATACTTATTGCACATTTAGGTTGAATCTGTAATCCAAGTAGAATAATAAAAAAAACACTGCTAAAACTGTTCATGCAAATTTAAAATAATGCCAAATTATAACATGGAAATGCAGTATACCTTATTCATTAATATATTATAGTTCAAAACATTGTCAGAATGCCCATTTTCTAATAGATTGTCTTCCAACCAGAAACTCCTGTATTGCAGAAGTAACATCATATTTCATAATGACTGATACAAATGAGTGACGTCAAGTTCATTTGATCATAAAATATGGAATTACTTCTACCAAACAGAATTTTCGAAAAGAAAGCCAACGAAAATGGGCACCAGCAAAATTCTGATAATTTCTGAACTCATCTACAGATAATAAATAATTATTCAATTTTGGAAGTCAACTACTATTGTCTTGATACATAAGAATAACATACTATATATAACAGCACTATAAGGTTGAAGCACAATAAAATGAAAACATTAGTCATTTCAAGAGTATATTACTGTTGAAAAAAAACATATACATGTACCTTATTGCATCTGTTGAAGTCTTTTGCATTTCAATGCAATGTTACAATGTCCAGAAAGACAGTTTAGTATTATGACATAAATAAGTTTGTAATGACTAGTTTCTAACCACATACTTGCCAAACAGTGTTGGTGTTTCATTAAATATCAAAATTGATCTTTTCTTTTTCCGGCCTCCGTTAAAACATTATTATGATTATTCTGACTTGACTTGTCATCAGCTACACGGGTAAACCACAAGGCTGCAATACAAAGTAACTGGACTGCAAAGTTTACTCTGTATTTACATGGAGCGGTCGGGCATCCTAGTGGTTAAAGCGTTGGCTTGTCATGCCAAAGAGCCGGGTTCGATTCCCGACATGGGTACAATGTGTGAAGCCCATTTCTGGTGCTGGAGTATTGCTAAAAGCGGCATAAAATCAAACTCACTCACTCACTCACCCACTGTATTAGGGCCAGAATAATTTTATTACTTCTTTTATGGACTGATATCCACGATATTGGCAGTCCAAAAGAAAAAAAACACCCCCCCATAAAACAACCCAACAAAACAACAATCTCAAATCCTACTTTCTTATTTTCTTCTTGTCGTTATATTTTTTGGAAAAAGAAAAACTTTTCCTCTCGCTACAAGTGGATCTTGTCCAGAGTCCAAACAGTCAAAATGTCGATGCTATTTAGACACAAAGTTACAGAACACAATTATTTCCTGTAATGGGATTCGTTAATTCTGTTTTTGTTGTTGCAAATTCGCTAAAAAGTGAAGGTCAAACCTGTGAAATGAATATGCAGAGACAATTTTCTGACTATGGTCTCTGAAGTAACAAAATTAATTTGGCTTGAAATACAGGGTTATCTCCCTTTTAAGTCAGTGTAAAGATTATTTGATGATACAAGCCGAATACAAATGTGGCTTGTTCCTTGGTAGAGTGGTGTTATCCATTGTTCTTGTGATGTACTCTTAATAGTGCATCCATGACCACTGAGTCAATGCAAGATCAAGGTGCATATCAACATGTTTAAATATCCCAGAAAGGTGCACCTTTTGGCAGATGTCCAACATTCTAGGCATCACTAATGTTTCTTGCTTCTCTTAGAAATACTGGCAATGTTACTGTGGACATGGATTGTTCATCACACAATATCTGCTGCTGGCAACCAACCCTTGGCCTTGCCAATAGAACTATGCATTAACCATAAGGCAAACCACTGGCTGTGACATGGGCCTGACATTGCATACAATGGTACTAAACATTAGCTGGTCTTCTTGGTCAGGTTCAAGTGTGTAGTTCTGGAGACGCTCTGTTGCAGCTAAATCAGGAAATGAAGTAAGTATCTATGCCTAACCAATGACAATTAGGCATGTCCAGCCTATTTGGATGAATGGAGCCCTCCTTTAACCATGTTCAATATGGAGAGGGCACACTTGCATCAATCCTGTCCTCCTTGCCCCTCTAGGTTGGACAGACTGCCACTGCCACATTAGTACAGGATGAAGCCACTTGTCTTTGGTTTCTTCTCTTCTTTTGCTTTGTGGCCTTTGGAAAATCCTGAAGAAGAGAAATAAATGGTTTGCAAAAACTTGACAAACATTCACAACCACATTATGTCTCCATTACAGAAAAATGGACGGAGGATATGAATAACAAAATCTGATTCACATTTAGAAAAACTGTGAACACTGATTTCAAAAACTTTATTCTAAGCTTCCTTTTAAAATCTAATGTTGGGAATAATGCCATGAAATTGTTGATATATAAATGATATTTATTTCATTTGGTGTCATTAATTCAGTCAATACAGCAATCAGTATGTTAAGCCACAATAATCAAATTTCATCCAATGTCCATTCAGGTAACACAAAAGGCTATTTATATTTTTCCATTTATTTTTCTCAAAATCAGCCACAATACACTGAAGAAGACCATCTCATGTGATGAAAGTAATGATGAATGCCAGTAATGGCAGCTATCATGAAGTCAGACATTATTTTGAAGGGAAATCTTGTAATTTATACTGGCCTTAAATAAGCAGTGAAGTGTAAGCATTATTTCTACATTTCATAACATATACAGTCTAAAATATACATCAGGGAGTTAACTGACTATGACAGTCAAGTTCCCACCCTTGCCGAACTAGGCTTGAATTATGGAGTTATATTTTGGCTGGGCTAACAAATTTATGCATAGTCCACTTAAAATCGTGTAACAAATTGACACACGGTTCAAAAACTGCCCTGGAGATATTGGTCGATTGCAGGGTTTGCAAAGCATGTGTACCACCAACAGATATTCTGCAAACTTTTCATGTTTTTAATCAAGGTGTTCATGTGATTTGATCAAAATAGATTTTGATTATCGATCAGATCTTCTTGACTGGGAGCTGCCTTTTTGTTTGAAGCAAATGCAAATGATATGAGAAGTGGAATCTAATTGGTCAATGGGAGTGATGTAGAAGGGATATAACTCGTAATAGCCACTGTTGGCGCTACAACCAAGCCCAGAAATTCCAGCCTAGTTCAGCAAGGGTGGAAACTGGACTTTTACAGTCAGTTAACTCCCTTGCCTAGGGAAGATGGAAATAAAGAAACAAGGCTACAATTAAAACATCTGTCAGCTTTGCCCCTTATTTCCTTTCGTATAGCAGTATATGTAAAGTTCTCAATGTATATACTTAGTCATCAACATATAAATTAGTGGAGCGGATATGTGAAACAATTGTGCATTAATGACCAAAATAATGAATTTAAAAAGAAAACAGGTCAGAGCAATCCATCTAAATGTCATCCAATGGGGGTCAGCTCACAAAATGGCCACCATATTTATTAATTACTGTTGACCACCTTTCTTCAGTACTGTTTCAATCTCTACAAATTTAACTGTTAACTTGTTTGTTAAAACATCATGAGTCATGTCATGCCCCCAACAATGTCTCTAAATTCATCACAATATATAATGGGAGAGAAACCTGCACGTTTTTGTGCTGTGTAACAGAAGAATAGAAACAGAAGGGACACCTTCCACTTAGACAGAAATGTAAATCTGGACAAAAGGGGATGAAATAGATTAGGACTCTACATAAACCTGGTTGCAGAATATTTTGCAGAAATGTCCTCTTGATGCAGAAGTGTCCCTATTGTGGAGAAAATCACATGAAGCACGTCTCACAGCTTCATGCTGTGACAGTCAGTTCACAAATCATGGATTAATTTGTCCCAAAACAGGATTCAATTCATAAGAAATAGTTAAAGAGATTGCAGAATTTAGGAAAATTGGTTGCAGAATATATACATTTTTTTGAAGGTTTAGCTGCGGAATTCTGCAGGGGCTGAAATATCAAAGGACAGTTCTACATGACTGAATTGAAACGGTCCATATACATCCAGTACTTGTCCTGTTACTGGTGTTATAACATACAGATTGATTGCTATGATTACACACGCATGGTACATGTAATTATTGCAGAAGCTCACAGCAGCTATGTTGTAAATGCAGCATTTGATGAAGTTCTGAAGCACACATTCAACACTGTTTGCTTATAATAAGTTCTTGTTTGCATACTCATCTGCAGCTTTGTCAGTGATGATGTTAATTTGAACAGCACATGGTCACTACTTCACGGGTTAGAATACACTACGTTCCTCAACTTTGGAGTGTAGCAGCTGGCTTGGTTCAAACGAGAGAAACCAGCTAGTACTTAGACCACATTAGCAGTGCTTCTCACTTAACAACATATTCCATAGCCTTGTGTTTGCTTGTTTTGTTTTTTGTTTAACACCACACTCAGCAATATTCCAGCTATATGACGGCAGTCTGTAAATAATCAAGTCTGGACAAGACAATCCAGTGACTGACATCATGAGCATCGATCTACGCAATTGGGATACGATGACGTGCATCAACCAAGTCAGCGAGCCTGCCATAGCCTTGTGATGATGATTGTACACATTGCTTCAATATGAGGCAATGGTAGGGTTCATGCATGGACGAGGGCTCATTTGACTTCTGTGAGCTGTACACGGACTCATTCCATTAGCCAACCACATACAGACGCATAACCAGTACAACACAGATCGCCCACTGTATAAGTCACTGGTGATGGATGTGTATACAAACCTCTCAAGTATTGACGATGACACAACAGATGAAACAGTAGTACTACATAATAGTACTTATATTTTTAATTTTACATCTTTGACCATGGCTTCTTACTGTTGGAACTTTTAAATACTGTAAACTATGTTAATACTAAACACTCATATAACAAACTGGCAGATAAACAGAACTGTTTTTTTGGTCCTGTTCATATGCTGTACATATACTGTATATGTGCTTACAACAAACTAACTTTAGTGGTCCCTTTGAGTTCGTTATAACCTTAGTTTACTGTAGATTCTACTCTCCTAAATAGTTACAATGGTCTTAAAACTTTCTCAGCTTAAACATAATTATTATAATGTTATTGGTATATACCATGATATACAGCAAGCATTTGATAATTGAGAGAGTTAATATTTCCATTTCATCATTTAAAGAATGAAGAAGAAACAAATTAGACATATACATCATATATATTTTTGTGAGAAGGAAAACAACATCTTTGTGAAGATTAAACTTTCTTGAAATAAAATGAATGAAATCAGTTATAAGTACCCTTTTGGGAATGTCATGGATCACAAGAGATATGAGGTTTAGACAGAGAAAGGTGCACCAAGAACAGTAATACTAAGGTTTTAACAAAACAAATTTCAAATTCAAATGAAACAGCGAAAACTATTCTTTAGTCCAAATTTTCTTTTAAAAGTATGATGAATCATCACAAAAATAGGATGGCAGTGTTGAAGAAGGCAACATGACAGCGTTGTTGACAAACACATGAGACCCAAACCCATCATGCTGCTATTAGCACAACTGTCACCATCATGCACTAGAAATACTACCTAAATCCACTGACGGCATATAAGGGCACGTACGAATGCCCACCACCTCTGAATCCAACCTTGAACATAGCCTTGGCGCATCTGCCTTTGTCTGCCTCTCCGCACTTTAGACAAAACAGACAGGTGAGATATGGCGGCCATCTTGAAAGTGGATATGCCAAACGAAGGCAGTTATTTCTCTTGTAATACTTGATAGATCCAGTGTGTGAGTGAGTTGGTTTATTTCAGTTATATCTAGGGGAGTCAGTGTGATGTGGGAGGAAAGCCCGAAGTGACAGAAGTTGTAGACCTTCAGAAAAACTTGGCAGCTTAGAAATGCAACTCTGAAATTAGTATGACCTATATCATTGGAAGCTCATGTTGATGGTGTTTTTTAACTTCAATATATTATATTTGTACCCTCTACGTATTAATGAACTACACCGCCTTCCTCTCACATCAACTTCACCCCACCCTGCCCAACCTACTTGTGCAGTGAACTAAAGAAGCTTGCATGTGATGTCATGACTGCTGACATGATTCATCGATGTACCCTTGCAACGAAAACTAAAAGTCAACAATACAATACACCATAAGGCTTGATTCTGTATCCCTACATCGTTTCAAAAATTAATTAACTATCTGCACATCAAATGTAGACAATGTTGAACGGACTGACATTCTGCCCTTCTCATCAATGTCTTAGCATGTTTCATCATGTATTGGTGTTGTCTAAAAATAACATGAAAATGTGACTTAAAAAAAAACAGATTTAAGAAAAGTTATTTGCTTTTGTTTTCCATTTATATTTCAAATTAGAAAAAGGTCCAAGCAATTTTACTAAGAAAAGGTGTATCATGATACATATTGTATTGTGGCTAGTTATCATTTCAGCTCAAGTATACCACTGAACCTTTCATGGAGACATTCCTGTAAATATCAAGAAATACCAGAAATGTCCCTTAAAAGTTGAGTATGATAAATCAAGTTCTATTGCTGACACAAGCTCAGTATCCTCTCCACAAATAACTTCTGTAACGAGGTTCCTCCTATAAAGCATCATGTTTAAATAAAATTAAAAGCAGTTTCATGCCCTGTTCATCCCGCTAAACATCTGTGGTTGAACATCCATCCATCACATCTGCCTATAAATATCTTTACCTTTCTCCTCTAACATTATGGCAATGTCTTTGTCTTCTTCCTTGTATCTGAAACCATTTAACAACATCTTAGTAATCATTGTATCAATATATACTCACAACAAAAACAAATCAAAAGAAAGAAACTGCTGCCTGGAATTTTTATTGGAATGAGAATTGAAGAGTTACTTCCCTTCCCTTATTGGACAACGTTGGGATCTTTTTTCCAACTAAATTTGTTAAAAGACAAATGGAAAGAATCTTTTAAGAATTTATTTCAGGAAGATGGATTGTCACTGAAATGACACTTAATGTGGTTCCATCCTAACTGAATCTTGTACATATCCTGGGAAATAATAACATGTATCATACCTGATCCTGTCTTCGTCGATGCTGTCGACGATGTTGCTGCGCTGGTTGACAATGGCCAACTTCTTTTCTATCAGGTCAGCTTCCCTCTTCTTCTGAGCTTTAGTCTTCTTAGATTCTGACGAAATACAAATCATAAAATTTTTGTTTCTTGCCTGTGTAAACAAGTAAGGATGCGAATGTTGTTTAATGCCATAGTCAGAATTAGTCCGGAAATATCATAGCAGCCATGATCTAGTCCTGACCAGAACATACGTTCATATTATGAGCAATGTCTCTCACTGTTTGGAACCCATGAAGACCCAGTTTGAGTATGTCTTCAGCAACCCATGCTTGTCTTGAAAGGCGACATATGCTTGTCGTAAGAGGCGACTGATGGGATCGGGTGGTCAGGATCGCTGACTTGGTTGATGCATGTCATCGTATCCCAATTCCACAGATCAATGCTCATGATGTCAATCACTGGATTGTCTGGTCCAGATTAAACTATTTACAGACTGCCAGCATAAAGCTGGAACATTGCTGATTGTAGAATTAAACAACAAACCAAACAAATCGCACAGTTGGGATGCGATGACATGCTATGAACAGTATCACCAAGCCTGGATCTAATTTCCACTTTAGCCACCTATTACAACAAGCAGACTACTGGTCTCTCATTATTCCTCAGAAAGGGTCTCATCATGATAAAATAAGAGATGAACAAAATTAGTTAGTGAGTACAGTGTATTGTCATATGCCACTTTTAGCAATATTCCAGCAATGTTACGACAGGGGACACCGAAAAATGGGCTTCACACATTGTACCCATGAGGGGAATCAAACCCAGGTCACCGACGTGACAAGTGTACACTTCTACCATAAGGCTACCCCACGGCCCCTAAACAAAATTAGGATTGGGTGGTTACACTGTGTGATCTTGTGTGTCACTGTCTGCAGACAGCATGTCCGTGTGTGATCAACATAGTGTCAAGGACTGTCGGCTTTAATTGAGGGAGGCCAAGTTTGTTTGGGTTTGGTGTTCAAAGGAATCACAGAGTTTGTTTCATGTTGCCAAATTATGTTGTCTGAAGGGACACAAGCTTTATTACTTAGTTACCTGGTATCATGACAAGGTAATTCAGCATTTCATCGATGTCTTCCTGTTCATCCTCCAGATCCTGCTGTTTGGATCTGTGAATCATAACATTTATAGTGTTACATTGAGTCCATCATAAACATGCTGAGAGAGCAGAAACTTGCGGTGGCTTCTGTTGACCTGTGTACCCACCTAAAACTTAATATTTGATTGAATCTGCTCAGTGAATGAACACTATTTCAGTCAGTTCAGCTTGACGGGGGAGGGATGCAAGCCTTAGACATTTACCACTTTGACGAAACTCACATGTACGGGTATGTGCTGACAAACAAACATTATAATCAAGGCTAATTGGTGACTCGAACCCATGATCACTGGAGTGAGTGAGTGACTTGGGTTTCATGCCTCTTTTCCCACAATCACTGGATTCTGGCACACCTAAGGGATGCTCCATACACACTTGGCATCGCATCCCCTGAACTGACCACAATGCACAGTCCACATTGTTATTATGTCCCATTCCATCAGGCAAGGTATGCAAAGATGGAGTCACTGGGTGTGGGACAAGATCTTATGCAATTATTAGCGACATCAGGACAGGAGACAGCAAAACTAATCTTTACAAATTGTGAATTCACAAATTGCTTTGCTAAACCAATGTGCTATTAAGCAATGTTCTAATGCTTGTATGAATTCAATGAATTTCTGCTTTACACTTCACTCATGCACTAAGTTCAGCTGAGTTGACATGTATATTCAGTGTCTATCAAACAACACAACCCATTACTAGAACTCACATGTATATAAGGTCAGCCTCTTTGCGAACCAATTCGTTCTTGGAGTTAATGAGTTTGAACCATTCAATCATCATATTATCTTCCTCGTCAGTAGTATCCACTGAAAAACAAAATCAGATGCTAAAACTGAACCTTTGTCACACAGACATGTCACAGCTGTCAATCAAGCCAAGAAGTTGGAAACCACTGAGCCACACAAAATACCATTTTACTAATATAACACATTTTTGTCACCAAATATCCATATATATTTTAGAGGCAATCATTTTGTGCACATAGTTGTTATCTCCCTTAGTCTCAAGCTGTATATGAAAAAGCATATCAGTTTGCAGACTTGAAATGAGACTTTGAACAAAGTTTTTTTAACAGTAAAGAAAACAAGAAATTCTAAGACTTTCTTTGGTGTCAGTGACAAGATGATGCTCAATGGTTTGACTCATGGACAGTGTGCATGTCTGTGGGAAGTCTTGGACACTTGTGTCAGTCACTGTGCAGACAGTCAGCGTGATGGTGGAAGGGAGGACGGGGAGGGCATCTCTAGATGCATCCAGACTATGTTCAGATTATCCAGGCATTACACTTGGGATTTCTACAGACGATTATAGAAAGGTATATGTATTACATTAAAATAATGACTCGTCAACCGTAAATATTATGTTATTTACATGTAGAATTTTGGATAATTCAGTGAAGAAGAATGATAGGACAGTCTTAGGATATGGGATACAAGCTAACGGTGCTATGTGGAATTTCAAGTAATCTTTCAACAGGGAGAAACTGCTGTTCCAAATATCTTGTTTCTATGAAAGTTCTTCAATAATGAGATCAAAACAAGACTAGATCGTTCACAGCAGACACTATCAAGATACTCCAAAAGTGAAACTCATGCAGAGAATGTCATACTGACAGTTTCTATCATGCATATACTCACTAACTCTTGAGAGAACATACCGAGCTATACTTATACTCATTCATACCAAATAATAATTTAGTATCTAGTATAACACAGGAAGTAAGATACAGGTATGACATATTTTCCATGCATATCTAGAGATTCAGTGCCGACACAGCCACTGTTTAAGAAATGATTACATGAGGTAAATATTTCTGATAGCTGAACCCAAATACTTTTTTCCGGTTCCTATCATAATGCCCAATAAAATCCATTCAAATTATTGTCCATACCCAGTTTAGACTTGTTAGGGGAATTTTGAAACTGGAGTTAGTGCCATAGATATGTATTGGAAGTACAGAAACCAAGTGTGGTTAAATGGTTGAGAAAAGTTTAGAAAGAAGGGAGATATATTTGATCTCTTCACTGTGTGCTATAATGTACATAACCTTGTGTGTTTACATGCATGTGAACATACATCACAAGAACTTGGTCAAAAGAATTCAAATACAAATTTCACAAGTTAAAAACATTGCAGTTTACATCATAAGTCATACATGAACAATTGCACATAATAAATACACTACCTTTTCAGCTTTATTCTCACTTGTATTAAAATAATATGTAAATTGCAAACAGATTAACAACAATGTCAAGGCATGTTTCTTAAAACTACACAGAACATTCATACTACTCACAAAGCAAAAAACAGATGGCATGACTATTCCACACAATATGTAAAAAGAGTTAGAAAACAATAAGGCCTGGGTAAATTGCAAAAAATGAAGAAACCATAACAAAGTACTCCTTGGATTCCAACCGAAGATACTGGCCATTGAATAAAAAACCAAAATACACAGGTTGAGGTGGGGTTATTTCCTGGGTGAGGTTAAACAAAGCATTGTATGGAAAAACATAAAAATTGAAATAAATATACAATTGGCAGTATTTTGTATGATTGTCAGATTGTTTTGATTTTGATGATGAAATGAAATGAGTCTATTCTTAAGGCATGATGACACATGGGATGACAATGATGACATGACAACATGATGACGAGGATGACAAGGGTAATGACGATACAAAGGGAGGTAATAACCTTGTCACCAGGTCTGCAGTACCTCAGTGCTGTATACGGTCATGCCATTACACTACCGGAAACACAACATAAAAAGCAACTGATGAAAATGGTTACCCCAGGAAAATCAACTTATTCTCCTTCTTGCCTCTCTGATCTGAAAGGTTAGAATAGCACATGAAATTCGTTAGGTTAACAGGCGTATTAGGCACGGAGCGTCAGATGAGATTATCATGCATGTCGGTCTGCGTCTTCCAACATGGTGAGCCTATAACAGATGATCGCATGACTGGCAAGAAGTTTTCATAACAAACACCAACCAACGTACAGCAGAATGTTGAGAAATTCAAGTCAAAAACAGCAGATCAAAGTAAAGACGAGAAAATATATTTTAAAAAAAAATTAAAAAAAATGAAAGGTAGAAAGATAAATAACTATTAAAAACTGTGACTCTACTGTGAATTGATAATAATACAAAATGAATGAATAAATGAACTTTAATCTTTTGTAGTCATTAACATTTCCTTTTAATTTTATTTCTGTATACACTGTTACAGTAAAACAGAACTTTGTTAAAATGATGTCATTGGAATTCTTAAATAACCAAACTCATGAGAGTTTAAAAGAAATTGTAACGGAGCTTTGAGTAATTTTGCTTTCAAAATGTTTGGATGAATTAGCCTGTGTATCACATATTCAACTGTCATCATATTCTTTTCACTTAAAAGACAAGTGCATTCATGTCTGCTGGATGTTAATTAGAATGAACGTGTCACACAGTAATTCTTGCATATACAAACAATAAAAGCATACAGCTTTGATTATAAGTTTAACTTGTTAAAGAACTGCAGTTGGCATTCTCAAACAATGGTGTATCTACTGAGAGGTTAGTGTTAGACTAGGGCAGGTGATACACAAAGACTAGGTGTTATACACTATTTTGCTAAATAACCTACCATGTTATGCAAGGCAATGGTCATATCTTTAAACAAACTTGATGTTATTAGAATTCAAACAAAATCACATTAATCTAACCTAATAAAAATCATGCTACTGTGAACATTAAACATCAAAATGTCTTACCTACAAATATAAGTTTAGTGTCACCTTCGAAAATTAACACATATCTTCAATTTGCATTGTGCAATTATGATAGGTATATGTAACTACGGTAATGAAAACAAATATTTTTACCCTGAACCTTGAAAAACAATATTGAGAATTACAAATTAATATTTAATAATATTCTGCTGATAATGTAGCAAAGGAAAAGCTATAGGCAGTAAGATGGTAGAGTTATTAGTCTTAACAGTATGCACAACCAACATCGGCACAACGGTCAACACTCAACATGGGAGGAATAACAATGAAGGATGTAAAACTGGGATGGCAATGTTCGGGTTACTAAGGCGATATTTACCGTTACGGATTGAGTCCTCCAAATCTCGTCCTCTCATTTCCAGGTTATTTAGTTTTTTATCAATGTCGTCAAGCTGTTTCTGGATGATGGCAGGAGACATTCGGCCTGGACTGACAGTCTGAGGACATGTTGGAGAAAAAAACTATGTAGAGGACTAGATGAGGAACATTAAGTCAATTGTTTCACATCACGGTCAGCAACATATACATAAAAAGTGACTGTGTGTAATTTTCACTGTTATAGTAAAGATCGACAGCACATTTTTGGAGAAAAGGCCACACTTTTATATTTCATGGTTTCCAGATTTTTGCTAATCAGTAAGCTTGGGAAGCTTGTAGAATGATACTAAATATGTTTGTGTAGCTTAATAGTTTTGATTTTCATTTGGCATAAAAGTGTCCCATTGGGTCAGTCAATTTAGAGATGGAAAACATATGCTAATTCTGATTAAAGTGCAGTTTGTTTAGTATTTTTACAGTGTCATAAAAATAGAATAAAACTTATTTAAATTTATTTTTTGAATGTGGATTTTGTCTCTGGCTGGTTGAAATACAGAAAGAGTGTTGGACTAATAGAGTCATGACTGGTTAGTCACTGAAAATGAGATTTCATGAAAATAATCAAAGAGTCATTTTCAATGGCTGTTACCTTGGAAGGACTTCCTCTAGGAGCAGGGGGCCGTTGAGGTGGAGTCTTCAATGGTGATGGTGGCTCCTTGTTCTTCTTCTCAGTGGGGTTAAACTCAAACCTATCACCAATTGAGATCTTTTTGAGCTGTCTGACAGGAGCTGTGGGACTGGGAGGAGGGCTGACTGGTTTGGGTGAAATCTTTAGCCTTGGCGGTCGTATGGGCGTGTCGCTGATTGGGTGGGATGTCCTAGGCTTCTTCTGAGGAGCAGTTTGCACTGGTTTAGAGTCAGCCGAGTCTGAAGTTGCAACCATACCTTTTTCTGGATCAACAAATGCTTGCTTATTGTGAGCCAATCGTCTCTGTGCCTCCAATTGCCATGTTGGCTTCGCTGTCGAGTCATCCAATATACTGGCCGACTTTGCTCTTTCTTTCAAACCTGGGGAACCTTGCTCATCTTTAGGCTTCACCCTCATTTCCACCAGATCGGATTTGCCCTGTTTAGAGGCAGACTCTTCTAACAAAACATCTACTGATTTTGGCCTTGCCTTTTCAGCTTTTCGTTTCTCTAAAGCTTTCATCCATGGAGGAGTGTCGTCGCCGGCAACAGGCTCAGACTTGTGTTTAGCATTACTGTCCAGCAGTAAGTCTGATTTATGCTGATCTTTATCGTGCAATCTCTGTTTCCATGAAGGAACCTGGTCTGATGCTTCTGACTTAGACTTCTGCTCTGACTTGCTATCCTGCAGCAGATCAGATCCTCTTGTCTTTGAATAATCACTTTTTTTCCAAGATGGTACATTGTCAGAGCCTTTACTCGAAACATTACTGTCCTGCAGCAAATTGTTCCCCTTTGATTTCAGCTCCTTCAAACCTGTATCCTTCTTCCAACTTGGCACACTCTCCTCTGGTTTAGACTTACTTGTGTCTTTCATTTTTAACTTCTCAGCACCAGACGTCAAATTTACACTGGAAGATATTGCACTTGTTCTGCTTGAAGAAGTGTCTGTGACTTTAGATCTATGTTCACCTTTTGAAATTATGTCAGCACTTTCCTTATTTTCATCCTTTTTGAATATTCCTATCTTATCCGAAACAAATGAAAAAGGGGACTTACTTTTCCCATCACTGACCTCTTTCTTTGACACATCAGCACCAACCTTTGTTTTTGCAACACTTAATTCGACTTTAGATTTCGGAAGTGCAGACTCACTCTTTGGTCTATTTGAATTTGGTTCTCTTTTCACCTCTGTACTAGACTTAGCAACAGGGGGCATTTTATTTGATGAATTGTCTGTTGGCGATGTCACATCATCTGTTTTACTCTGTCGAACATTAGCTAGACTTGCTAACAGTCCACCTAAAACCCTCTTTTCCTTAGCAGGGTTCTTGTCAGTGGGATTGACAAGCACTGCAACAGGTTCAGACCCAGGTCTTGGATGTGACGCCTTATGTAACGCCTCATCCACATCCATGGGACTCTCGGATCTAACGTCTGCTATATATAACCTGGGTGGTTTAAGGGGTGCTGCATTGGTGGTGGTGTCCTTCGGGACACTGGTGGTGCCTTTGGGAACATTGGTGGTGATGCCCTTGGGAACATTGGTGGTGGTGCCTTTGGGAACATTGGTGGTGATGCCCTTGGGAACATTGGTGGTGGTGGTGGTGGTGGTAGTGGTGGTGGTTTTGAGAATGCCCACCTTGTTTGTAGGTTTAGTGGAGCTGGTGGTGGTGGTGGTGGAGAGATTGACTGTGATGTTACTTGATTTATAGGGGAAGGATGGGGGCATTGACGAGGGCACAGGGGGAGCAGCTTCTGTATGTGGGGTGTACTTGGTGGTGAGTTTACTTGGGGGCTGTGATGATGGGAGAGGAGGAGGGGGAGAGTCGGGCGTGTTCACCTTATCTTTGGCATGAGATATTAACAACTTTTTCCCAAATCCAGGTGATTTAGGTTTCACCTGGTCAGGTTTCTTGGAGTTATCATTAGTTTTTTCAAATGTCTTTTTAACAGGTGTTGGAGAGACATGCTTTAACTTTGCTCCGAAAGGTTCGGATGTGTCCATTTTTTCAACTTTCGTAGTTTCCTTTACACCAAACTTCCTTGACTTTGGCACAGGAAAGTCTGTCTTACTACTTGTCTCTGTAGGTTTAGATGGTTCTGTTTTAGAGGTAAGGAACCCTGACTTAGTTTCTTTTGGTTTTGATTCTTCAGCCTTTGTATTTGATTCTTTATTCTTTGAGAGAAAACCAAATTCATGTTTGTCAAACTTCTTTGCATTGAATGTTGGCGTGGGAGGCTCAGCCTTCTTACTATCATCAGACTCCTTTGTGCCCGTTTGTAAAATGAGAGGTCGATTCTTCTTATACTTGGGAACTTCACTTTCTTTCTTGTCAACTTCCATCCTGCTTTTCAACCGTTCCAACAATGGATCAGGTTTGGATGATGGTGTTTCACTTGCAGTAGTTGGCTGTGATCTATTATCATTTGAAAACAAGGACTTAGTTGGGTCACTTTTACTGTTCTGAGATGTTTCCACATGCTTGAGTCCATTTGACTTTGCCCGTGAGGGACTTTCATCGGTTTTACGCACTTTCGCTTTACTCGCAAAGTCGTCAGAAGGTGAGGAGAGGGATGATTTAAAAACCTTGGCTGTCGGGGAGAGCTCACTATGGCGGAAACAGGATCTGTGGTAGAGTTTGCCATTTTCAATTTGTCGTTCCAGCAAATATACTTTGTTGTTGCATATCACACACTTATCTCCCAGAGTGCTGGTCTTCTTGGCTTCCTCGCTTCTCTTGGGTGTTGCCTGCATTACAAAAACACCAACAACTCACAAAAACATACTTAACATATTATACCTCTGTCTGTGTGTGTGTGTGTGTGTGTGTGCGTGTGTGCGTGTGCGCGTGCGTGCGTGCGTGCGTGCGCGCATGGCAAGGTAACATCAAGTACCACCTTTTAACGTCTTTAAGTAAGACGCGGATGGGGATTGAACCCCTGACCTTCTGCTCTCTGGGTGGACGCACTACCACTGGAGGAGGTCACAAGAGGCAAGTACATGGATCGAGTGGCCAGGCTCAGTGACTTGGTTGAATGCTTGCCATTGTATCGCAATTTCGTGAATCGATGCTCATGATGTCAATCGCTGGATGGTTTGGTCCAGACATGATTATTTTCAGACCACAGTCATATTGCTGGAATATTGCTGAGTGTGGCATTAAACAACAAGCAAACAAATCTGGAGTATTAATGTTGAGAATGTGTACATATGTCAATACAAAATGGCGCTGTGGGCTGGAGTTACTTGATGCTATAAAGCCACATTATCATATAGCAGAGAGGGTCATATTACAGAAAGAGATATTTGATATTAAAAGGGATATTACATCGTAGCCATGATTAGTTCCTCAGGAAATTTGTTCACCTGGAGATGATTTCACATGGAATGATACCATTAGGAAGAATGAGTTTCACTGTACACATTTCAGGGAGAAATATGACTAAAAAGTAATTTCCTTGCAATGAACACTTATTCCCATCTACTTGGAAATAAAGAAGAACATTTTCCATCCATATTGAAGACTTATTTGCCGCTGTACTTACGGATTCCACATTCCTATCATTGGCTGGAGCAAACCGCTTGATTTCTGGCCCAGTCACTGGTTGAACAGCAGGGGATCTCTTGTGTGAACTGCTTGACGTCTGCTTGGCTGTCACACCTGGTCCACCTACTGATTGGGCAGGAAATAGTGATGTTAGTTGCTGCTGTTGAAGACATTGTCCCAGTGTTATAGGGAATGTGGTCCACCAACATGGAGTTTGGCAATTTAGTGTTTCATACACCACAGTATATGTCACTTAGGATAGTAAGACACACTGCCGCCTTTTTTTTACAATACTGTTAACATTAGTGACTGACCTACAAGTTTCAGACCTTTGGCCTTAGATTTGAAATCTTGATAAAAAGTTTAGGCACAATTTGATTTTGAAGTACAACTTTGTCCCATTATGAAAGTAGATATCAAAATGGTTTCATCCATACAAAAAATAAGTTGATTTTGATGGACAGTCAGCCAAATAACTCCTATGCTGACAAGGACTTTGTGTAAGTATCTCACACTGTGGAGCATCCTTGAAGTAGTTGTAGTACTGGGACACGTAGGTGACGACACTCAGCTTGTCTGGCACACGAATCTCAACCATGTCCTGCGCCTCCAACAACGCCGGGATCGCCAACTCACGCTCCGCAACCTCAAACGCCTGAAACATCAATATCATCACATCTGACATCCTTCTGAGTGAGTGAGTGAGTGAGTGAGTGGATGAGTGGATGAGGAAGTGGGTGAGAGGGTGAGTGGTTGTAGAGTGAGCAGATGAGCGTGTGGAGGTCCAGGTTGTCTCTTAATCACTTCTTTCATACTTGTAACGTAATATTTCACAATACTGTAGTGTTCTAAGTATAAGTATAAGTTTTGTTCCCTTGCCGCCACCATGATGGCATAGGCTGAAACATTACTGACTGGGGCCTTAAACAAATTGCTGACAGTAATTTCAAAAAACATTAACTCACAAACTTACTCGTAATCTGCATAAAACACACATTGAACCTCCACTACTACAGAAAACCTATGTGGTTTAACAGCAAAGTTAACAGCTACATGCCAACCATGTTAACAAGGTCTAAAATAATTTCTTTATAAAACCCGCGAACAAGATATAAATTCAGGTTTTTTTTAGCAACCTGCATAGACTTAAAATATACGCACAAACATCTGTATATATATATCTTCCCTGGCCTCAAACCAGGAAGTTTGGTGTGTTGGTAAACATGTTTTGGTCACTGCCCTGGTTTCTGTTTGACCTTGGGCAGGTAATAAATTAGTGCCAGTCTGACCTTCATATTTCCGTCACATGTTATTTAACTCTCAGACCATAAGTATTTCAATCAATAAATCATTATTAGTTATGAATCAACGAATTATTTTCAGGCTTCTTAGAAATAGCATAATGTTAAATTACAATATGTATTGGGGGTGTTTAGACTGAGTATTAGGGTTCAGTGTGTTACAGTTTGCTATCAATCTCAAAAACAATCTCTGAAACAAAAACATACTTGTATTTAAATATTTGTTATGTCATCCTCTGTAAATGCACTTCTCCTTGCAGTTCATGAACCATCATCAGTTAAAATATGCCAACAACAATTACCGTATTCGACATAATAAGCGCCCAGCTCAAATAAGCGATATTTGCTAATATATTGGCTTGTGAAGATTATCCCAATTATCACCCCTTCTGATTGATTAATTTACACAAGACTTATTTATTCGTGTAAAATACGCACTTGTGTGTTTGTTATATGCATCCTAATTATGGGCAATTAAATTCTGGAAAATATATCTGTCGTGTATAATATGCACCAACGTTTCTTTTGTATCATTTCAGGCTGTCAGCATAAACCACAAAATTTACAATCTTTCAACACTGTTTTTTTTTCTCTCACCAAAATTATATTCTAACTAGAGCCCCCTGTTTCTAATTACGCTTATTACGTCGAATAAGGTACTTACAAATGATCCCTTTGACACAACTTTGAACATGCAAGTACATATTATGAATATTGATAAAAAATAAAGTTAAATCAAATCTGAATATTCATTGCAACATTACTAAATAATCAAAATGACTATTTGAGGTAGACAAGTAGACAAACACTTGATAGAAACAAATAACTCCATTTAAATTCTAAAGGAGCACAATTTAGATGCAGGGATGAGAATGCATATTTTCCTTTTCAGCTGAAACTTCTTTGCAATTGAGCGTGGTCCATAATTTGGGGGTGTTTATGGGGGAAGCCATCAGATTTTAACAAATTTGTGGTCACTAAAATTCGCGGAAATTTGTGGATCCTGAGATGATTCTCATCCCTGGAGATGGGAGACCTATATCTTTACAGCAAGGGCTGCTGGGCAAAAGGGAAAATAGTATGGTTCATGGACTGACACAGACTAGGCTTAAAGCTAAGTATTATTTAATGTCACATTCAGGAAACTTGGTATATATGGTCTGTAACAAAAATATGACATGATCAGTACATTGTTGTAATGTCATTACTTATTACCCCAAATCCTTATCACACATCCACTGAAGGAAAGAGAAGCAACAACAAAAATTCATCACTGTCAAATGGTTTATGGAGTGTTGTGAGATATGTAGCAGACAATAACAGATAAATTATTAGAATGTCACCCCCACCAGTCTGACTACCGAACACCACCCTCACCATCTTAATGTCCCCAAGTTCCTTTATGAATAGTGTTCCCTTCTTTCTTTAGTGAGTGAGTGAGTGAGTGAGTGAGTGAGTGAGTATGGCAATATCACGGCGGGGACACTAGAAATGGGCTTCACACATTGTACACATGTCAGGATTCGAACCTGGGTCTTCAGCTTGACACGCGAACGCTTTAACTACTAGGCTACCCGACCGCCCCATTCTTTACTGAGGCAGTGGGGTAGCCTGTGTGAAGCCCATTCTTGGTGTCCCCTGCTGTGATATTGTTGGAATAGTGCTAAAAGTGGCATAAAACCTCACTCACTTTCCTTAGTTGATATACTACACCATACATAATGAACAAGGGATCATCAATATTTTGGGGGATATGTTTTGTAGTGAAGACTTGAGCACACAATTTCATAAACATATGCCCCAAAATATTCATGATCCCTAACTTTTTTTGTTCTGTATATGCAGTCCAACCAAACACCCATGCTTCATCCATCTGTCAACAGTTAATGAACGCAGATCCCCTGAACAGTCTGTTTGCGAAACATCAAATGTCTCCTAACTCACATTTCTGAACAATTTGGATGAAAATCTATTAATACATTGTGGTATTTAAGACAATATTCCCCTCCTACCATTTCTCATAAACATATTCACCACACATCCAAACTAGTTCGCTAGTTCGATCAATAAAGAAACCAAGTACTAAGTTCAAACAGACTTAAAAATCACCAAACTCAGTTTGACCGTCTGCTAATTTAAGCTCTTATATTTCCTCTATACAGCCTGGTTCTCAATATAACATTTGTCTATGCAGGCTGCAGATTGGAGGGACTCTGTCTATATGTGGGACAAAATCAATAGAGCGCTTGTGCACAGATGGTAGATAAAATGGGAACCCGATTGTACATTGGCCGTGGTGTTGTTTTTCACCACATATATACATATATATGTGTATTGGTGTGTTTTGTAGGATAAGCATTAAAACACTGCATTGCTCATATATGCACATATATAACATATTGTCTGGAGTAAGTATAGTGCTTGTGGTACAAGTATTTCAACGTTAGATTTCTCCAACTTGAAATTCATTAAGTTTATAATGTAGAACAAGTATTTACTAATTTACTATTAGGTTTTTCCAACTTTTTATATATATATATATAATGTATTGTTCTGAGTGTTCTGTAGAATAAGTATCGAAACATTGTATATACATACAGATATATTTTCATCAAGATGTTTATAGCATGCGTTTGTGATGGGTGTGCCACCGGTGGGGCAAGATACGTTCACCTTTTCGCGACCACCTGGTATCATCACTATTTGATGGTGATTCATGGACGCATGCTTATGATATCTTAAAACTGACTCTGCTTTTGGCAGAGATTTCTTATGAATATGGAAAGGGTCTTGTTACTTTTATTTCATATTGTGTTGAGCATGTTCAGTGTTACATTATCTTGATTACTGAGTGTGTTGATGTGAGTTGATGTAAAAGAGTCTGCAACTCCAGTGTTCCATCTTTCTTAATAATTTCACCTATTTCACAAACTGCATTACTTTGTGCCCCAAAATAATATCATAAAATCATCTATCAATACAAAATATGTGTGTAAACTGTTACAAGTTGAATACATTACATGGTGTGATAACACTCATATCAAAGTGCACTAAGCTGACCGATAGCAATGGAGACCGGCTTATCAAAAATCTGTCAAACTGTCAATTCAATTCGAGGAATTTCCTCTCTGTTTCCGGTTTGCTGACGTATCTCCTTAACCAGATATCACTGTTTGAGATATATCTGCCCTCACTTGTGCACCTGGCATGTCAGGTACCTACATGCTACATTATTGTAGCACTGGCCACAAGTTATAACAAGTATTTGTCACAAAGTGACGAAATGTCCCCCCCGTAGTTCTTGAGATATTGCGGCAACACCGTTTTCCAACTCCAAAAACAGATTTGCCTGCTGTGACCTTGAAAATGGGGTCAAGTTCACCAAAACCGACTGGTGTATGCGGTGTCTGTATATACACCATAGTTCCAAATATGAAGACAATCCAGCGATTAGTTCTTGAGATATCGCGGCAACACCGTTTTCTAACTCCAAAAGCAGATTTGCCTGCTGTGACCTTGAAAATGGGGTCAAGGTCACCAAAACCGACTGGTGTCTGCCGAGTCTGTATATACACCATAGTTCCAAATATGAAGACAATCCAGTGTTTAGTTCTTGAGATATCACGGCAACACCGTTTTCCAACTCCAAAAGCAGATTTGCCTGCTGTGACCTTGAAAATGGGGTCAAGGTCACCAAAACCGACTGGTGTCTGCGGAGTCTGTATATACATCATAGTTCCAAATATGAAGACAATCCAGTGTTTAGTTCTTGAGATATATACATTATTTTTTTGTTTTTAATGCACATTCATATGTCATAACCTTTCCATTTCAGTCAAAAATATCAAAAGAAATAAAACCGACTACATCTCATGGAAAAACAAGTCTGGCTTGCTGATCTCCAAATTTATGAATAGGAGAGTCTGCCTTTGACTGTCCCATCGCAAGATTCGCAGTCTTTTTCCATACTTTTTGTGAGTTAAAAACTCAGTGGCGTCTTTAAATGCTTTACAATTTTTGGACATGGGGTAAGAAACCTTTGCCCATGTTTGCAAAGACCAATTGTTAAAAAAAGCAAATCAAACAGTTTGCATAATTTTTGAAAAACATGGCAATGCTTTGCTCTAGAATGAACACTGTAGCTTAATGAACATCCCAGACATAATCTCCTCTATCTGACCTTACTGTGACCTGTACAGAGAGACGATTTGCTCTGCATTCAAAAATTATTGACCCAGTCGCTGCAACCTGGTGTCCGGATGCTATATAGACACATAGACATAACCATCTTCTGATTGTCTGGGGGAGTTGTGAGTGTGGAGATTAAACCTGCATCTTTTACGCTTGTCATTTGCAGTTACGCTTAATTAGAGTGAAATGATAAAAGAACTTGGTTTAACATTGATACTTTGGTTTATTGTTAACCATGATTGGTGAGTGAGTGAGTGATTTTGGATTTAACATCGCTTTTAACAGTATTTCAGTTATATCACTGCATGTCAGCTTAATGTGGAAGGAAAAATGTGGTTCAGGTCTAAAATGTTAACCACTTTAGTAAAACCCATGCAAGGATATGTTGCTGACAAACCTAGAAACATAATTGAGGTGAACCACAATTTGAACCCACATTCACAGGTTTCTGGCGTGCCCAAGGGACGCAACTCTGCACAGCGAATTGCTGCACCTTCAACAACTGGGCCAACCATTAGGGAGTGAGTCAAACGTGACAAGTTTGTCTGGTACTGAAATACCATGAATTCTAATTGGAATGAATTTGAACCTAAGAAAAGCAGATCCTGACAGGAAATAATCATAAATGCTTTGAAACAAAAGATGTCGGACAAGTTACCTCCTGATATGATCACTTCCTCAATTTGTGAAGCTGCAATATTAACTGTTTGAAAGGAATAAAAGATTTGAAACTTTTTCTTCACATATAACATCTGAGTCAACTGCCAAACACACATAGAATAGGGAAATTGTACGGGATTTGTCGGAAAAAAAACATTGTTAGCAAATAAGGAAAAATATTGATCTACTCACCAGCTGATTGTTCTCGAAGATGTTTTCCTTGGACAGGGAGTCATAGTCACTGTGAGGAAACAAATACAACTGTTAAAACTTGGGACAATTGGAATTGTTTGGATGAACAATGAACTTAATGACTTTTTACGAAACTGCCTCCGAGAAATACGTAGTTATCAGAAACACCAATCTTCAAGCCATATCACTTTTTATCAGGGTGGCCTATAAATCTGGACCAGTGATCGACCTGCTATGAGGATATGTTTCCACCCTTTGTCACCAACCATTCCCCATTCCTACAAGCATTGGGTGCTTGGGACCTAGTCCATCCGTAATCACCATGGGGGCACATGTTATTCAGTTATCTTTACACCTCCCCAATCATCCAGGGCATCATATCTCCATTCAATCATACCAAATAACCTGGACCCACATGCTACAGTCTGTGAAGACATGTCTCCATCCCCATCCCTCCTTTTAGTAACTTAGCACAGAAACATCTCACCCCTGAGTGTAATTTTGTTGAATGACAACTTTATTATGTCAAGTCAGTCAACTCAACATGACCCATGCATGCTTCCCCCCACACTGGGTGAGCTTAATGTCCTCGAGGTGGTCATGGTGATGTGGACAGAAGACAACCCATGTAAAACACTACCCTCTGACTACCCCAAATGAGTTGGTATTTGCATAAGTTCGATTTGAAAAAATGATCAATGATCCATTGTTATGGGGGTACAATGTCCGACAATCAGAGATCAAACACTGTAACCACTTGATCCCTGACTTACTGCCCTGGCATTAGAAATTGGCACAAGTCCTATAGTCCTTGACAAACTGCCCAATAGTTAAGGTATAAAAAGGACTAGTAGAAATGTTCCCTTTTTAAGGGCTTTGCTATATGTTATAAAGAACAAGTTGACTAAAAATGTTCGTCTCAATCGCTGCTGCCCTGGCATACAACATGGTCAAGACTCATGTCATTATGGTCAACGATGACATTCTTTTTGATACACAATTATTTTGAGAAAAAAAACCTGCAGTGTCATGAACGTTCTATCACACTCATTCAGAAGGATCATAAACAGCAATAGTGTGTGTATGAGCAAGTTGGGTTTCATGCCGCTTTGAACAGTATTCCAGTTACATCATGTGTGTCAGCTTGATGAAGGAGGAAAGCCTGAAGAGATGCAGGTTGAAAGATGTTTACCACTTACGAGCAGAGGTATGATGTTGACAAAGCTAATTACATAATCAGGGTGTACCCCAATTCACACACACGATAACTGGTTTCTGGCATGGCTAGGGGACACAACTCTGCACAGTGAAGTTTGGGGACTTAGACAACTGGGCCTCCCCTGCCCCCCAGGAAACAGGGTCTTCAATGACATCTTAATCTTTTCTCAATACATTTGATAGAGGATGTACATTCTGGCAGATAACATGTTCCGCATGAGCCTGCATACCCATGATCCATCCAACTCACATGTAATAACCCAGACTTGCCGTGATATGTTGTGAACTATAGTATAACTGGGAATATTCAAAGTCTGACAAAGGCTGCACATGTCTATCATGGCTGAGTTATCCACACACAAACACATTCCTAACTACACTTTTTGTCCTCCTTGAAACGATTAATCCTTCAGGCGCGACTACACACTGCGTCTATTCATAAACACTGCCTGTGTATAGATTTAATGATTGAGACAGTAGCGATAGAGGGAGGCACAGGGTAGACTTGCTTTGCGGCATTTAGTTGTTTTTTGTTGTTTCATGCTGCACTCAGCTGGCGGCCTGTAAATACATAAGTCTGGACCAGACAAACCAGTGGTTGATATAGTGAGCAATGTTCCAGCTGACTGGGTCCAATGGCTTAACATACCATGTCACTGAGCCTGATGACCAGGCCTACTTGATAGTTGCCTCACAGGACCAGAGTTAGGGCTGGAGATCTACTGTAACCCATGGAGTGTTATTTAGCAGTAACTAAGTGCAAGTGTTAAAACTCCATTATCCTTTACATTCAGCTCTAGTGCTAGCTTGTCATTAGAGTTGTCATTGAAATTGGTTTGAGCAATATAATGTGACATGGTTGATTGTGAAATGTGTTCTTACACCTTGATGGTGTGGGTTGATACTCATACTATCAACCATTGGTTTGTTTAGTCCAACCATAATCCTTTACAAGCTGTCATTATTTAACTAAATACTGCTGCCTTAAGTTTAAAAGGAAGGCCTGAAGTGGTGCAAGTTGTTTACCACTCTGGTGAAACCCATGAACACGATTACCGTGTGGACAAACTGTAATGTAATCATGGCAAACCATGATATAAACCCACAAGCATCTGTCCTCAAGGATGCAACTCTGCATAGCAATTTGTTGCGCATTAAGCAACTGGGCTACTCATGTCCCCTCACAAACAAAGAGTGAGTAAGTGAGTGAGTTTGGTTTTACGCCGCTTTCAGCAATATTCTAGCAATATCACGGTGGGGGACACTAGAAATGGGCTTCGCACATTGTACCCATGTCGGGAATCGAACCCGGGTCTTCAGCGAGACGAGCAAACACTTTACCCACTAGGCTACCTGACCGCCTCAACAAACAAAGAGTAACATGTCCCTTTATTCCTAATTCCAATAATATAATCAAAGACCAAAACTAAATATCAAACATGCAGTTCTATTAAACTGTGCCCAGTGACCCGTAGTAAGTGGAGTCATCTGTCATGGTTCAAGTAAGCTCTTCAGTTTGAACTTTTTAGTGTTTTGTTCGTTGACAAGTTGGTAGGAAAGCACTACAGAGTATTTGTACTATTTACAATATCCATGGTGGAAATATGTGGACAGCAACAACACAAACACAATAGACATGCACTACAATACTGGGCTTGCCATGAGTCACCAGGCAGCAACTTGGCTTGTCATAAACATACTTCATAATTCAGTCTTTTGCAGCAATAATCTCACAAAAGCCAGTTGTTCCGACATGTGCCGTGAATATTTTTAACAATTAAATTCATCATTCAGGAAGCATGAAACATTTTTAAATGTTAAGTCACCATTTTACTAATTTCAGGGGTTACTGGGTTCGATCCAAGGACTGAAGACATTTTCTATTTCTATCATGTAAAAAATCATACATTGCCCTTGGCAATCATTAGGCCATGATAAAATAAATTAATAAAGTACACAGACACCTTGAACAGTTTGTTTAACGAAAACCATATAAAGAGAGAGAGAGAGAGAGAGAGAGAGAGAGAGAGAGAGAGAGAGAGGGGAAGGAAATAAAAATGAATGTATATCTAATAATTAATTTATTGTGGTCTTATAGTACTGTTTAATATGAATAAAAAAGACCACAAGTGTCTTATTTGATGCCAGTTTCTGAGTGAGTTTATTATTACTTTGAACGGTACTTCAGTCACGTAACAGCATTTCACCTGCCTAATGTGGGTGGAAAGCCTGAAGTGATGCCGTCCATACATGTTGACCACTGTCTGGTTAACCTACAGACGCAGGTATGGCAACAACAGACCAAGGATTATAGTCAGAGTGAATCAAGGATTTTGAACCACCAGATCCTGACATTGTTTAGCACTGAACGCGAACGCGATCGGATATATCTGGCAAAAATATGCCTCTGAGGTGACACGTAGCCATTGTAAGCCGGGACCATATTCGACATGACCATCGCATGATGTAAACATCCTAGTGTGCAGACGACAGTTATGAATAGCTTGTCAGAGGTAAGAATCTGCATCTTATGCGGCAAAAGCGGCCGTTTGCATAAGTTATGTGACTCATCTTGCATCTACTAGAACTTTTTTTACCTAATCAGTATAGCCCGTCAGGTACAGACCCTGAGGAATATATTTGTTTACATCAACATGTTGGAACGATATTTTCAAAACGTTGTTGTATACTAGTATATTTGGAATTTATTTAGTATCAATCCTTCCAAATAAGAAAATTAAACAGATGAAATGTGAACGGACGAAAAATGTGCACCTGATATCGCTTAAGGTGGAAGCCTGTTTATTGTTGGAGCAGATGTTGCCCCATTTCCTACACTCACAGATGAGTCTTCTTTGTGATTACAGAAGTGACGGAAAGGGGCGAGGTTGGCCGAAAGGAGCTGGCGAACTCGGCAGAATTAGATGCACTTGGACACTCAGGTCCCTTCAATACCTAAAGTTCAGCTAACTTCTAAAATAATTATTTTTTGCATGTATAAAGATCATAAGTGACTAAGATTGCAGCCAGAGACTTCCAAAATCTAACCTCTACTTCAACAGCAAATGCATGTGAACAGTGTCAAGTGTTTTCAATGAACTTAACCTTCTATAAGAGGTGTGTAAATTTGGAGCAAATATTTGCCTCGACCTTGAAGTGCCTTCAATCATACATGTCACCATCTGCTTCAGCATATACCCCCTGTGGCAAGCAGGGCTTTGAGGTCGGGGCACCTGGCAATTAAGTTATGTAGGTAATTGACAAGGTAATTATGATAACTATTTCAGCAATGCATTACTGCACACAACACTGATACTAAAATGTACATACTCTGACCTTGCTGATATGATTGATTTCAAGGCACATATCTTTCAACAGCTTATCACTGTCATTAATGAAGTCATCAGCAATTATTCTTCATTACCTGCAGGGTGACGAGAGCCAATAGACCAAAACAAGGGTCTGGTGAAATTAAACTGGGACTTTATTAACTTACATAAATCAATATGTTTAGATAAAAATCTACTGAAAATGGATTCCACAGGACCTATACTAGTTTGGCTCAATCAGATGTTTTACCCTTATGAATTAATTCTGAGACCACTTTATTTGGTTCTATTGCGATGGCAACGGTTTGTCACCTCTCACCCCAACCTGTAACATACTAAATTGGACAATGGAACGACCTAGTAGGTCTGGAGAAACATTTGACATACCTTGGGTGACACGGACATGTGATACTGACATAAAGCAATAAATCCTTTTGTTTGACTAGAATTGAAGCACAGTATCAACGCATCTTTCAACTTTACCATGTTGAGAGATACAAAA